GTTCCATTGCCTCAGGACCAGCCAATCCCACCAGTCGGTACCAGTGCCCAGTCTCCACAAGGACCTCTCCACGGTGGGGTGGGGATGGCACAGGGACACCATGGCCTCCCCGGTGAGGGAGTCCAGAACGACCTGTGCCTCGAGGTCCTGGAGGAAGAGTGAAGTAGCCTGGAGCAGCAGCTGCAGCCACTCCAAAATGGCCGGAAGGGGCCAGAGCAGGCACAAGGCCACCCCTGGCTCCATGGCACAACAAATGAGCTGAGATGAAAAAAATCAGCCAAAGGCACTAAAGGCAGAACGCAGTGATGTCCAATAAGGCAGAGGACAACCACAAATAGAACTGCTACGGCTGTCAGTCCCTGCAAGATGTCCCAAAGCACGCAGCAGGAGAGAAACGGCTGTCCGGGGAGATGCCTTTAAGCACGTGTCTCAAAGGAGCACCAGCCCCCACCCCCGGAAAGGGCTGGTGCCCTTTTGCCCTCTTCAAAATGGTTCCGGGCTTCTGCTATTGCGCAAAAGCATCCCGCCAATGTAGACGCTCTTTTGCGCAAAAGCGCATCGCTCTTACGATGAGTCCTGGATCAATATAGATGCTCTCTTGCACAAATACTCTAATGCAAAAACTCTTGCATTAAAAGTATTTGCGCAAAATCTTGCCAATGTAGACGTAGCCTTAGGCTATGTCTACACAGCTTCCCTCTTCCACAAAAGCCAATGCAAATGAAGCACGGATTAGCATACTGCCTTGCTTCATTTGCATAATTAATTAGGAGCCGTTTTTGCGCAAGAGGTTTTTATTCAAAAAGGCGCTGTCTACACAGTGCCTTTTTGCGCAAAAAGCCCCCTCTTGCGCAAGAGCCGTTCTTCCTGAAAAAATGAGGAAGAACAGCTCTTGTGTAGGCTTTTGCAGAAGAGGGCAGCTATGTACACGCAGCCCTATTTAGTGCCTATTTACATGAAAGTTCAGCTATTTATAGGAATCATTGTATCTCACAAATTGAAGTATATTATACTAGAGTGAAATAATTTTTTTTTATGTGCTGCATTTTAAGGTATGCAAAGAAAAACAGTTGTAAAACTAAAAACACATTTTTATTAAACAAGGACTAAACAAAACATATTACACTTTTTGACTTGAAACCATAATCACGTTCAGTCACTTGATCAGATGTTACTTCCAGAATTCCTCAGCTTTAGCTAAAGAATATTGCCATCTTTACAGAGCCAAATATCTCTTTCTTAATTTATTATTTATTCCAGTATTTAGTAGAAGCTGTGGGGAAAAAAGTATACAATTTCCCCTCTTTAAATTATCTAACTATTCCCAGATCTTGATATAATACGAGCTTTCATTTGTTGTATAGATAAATACAGACCACATACTCATATAGTGATGAACATAAAGAACAAGATATATGATACATGCATCAATAAATATCCTGTCTCTTTCCTTCTGTATTTCCAGAATCTCATCTTTATTTCCCAGAATTTTTCTCTCTTCTAGGTCTTCTTGACCATCTCTTTATATTGTGATTTGAGTGTAGTTACGACATTCAGCCTGCTCTTTTCAGATTGTTTCTACTGCTAACACTACCATCCTGGGCTGAGGTAATTCAGTTCAGAAGATTAGTTCTAGCATGCTTAGTAGTGCTGCAACAGTTTTAGTAGGTATGTAAAATCCTGTTTAGTTAATCAGTTAAATGGTTAAGTTTCACTAGTTAACTTATTAAACGGGGGAGGTCGGGATGGAGCAACAGCTGCACCACAGGCAGGAGGTGCTCCAGCCCAGCCCCTTCTGGCCCCGCATTGGGCTGCCAGCTCCAAGCCTGCCTGGGCAGCTCCCTCCTCTCTCTGCTTATGCTGCTGCTTCCACCCCCATGCAAGGTGCCAATTCCCAGCCCACACAGGCAAGGAGCCAGCAGCACTGTGGAGCGGGAGCAGCTTGGGCGATGGGGAGGTGCTGCTTCTGGGTAACAGTTAACTGTTAAAGGTGATGCTTACTGGTTACCCATTCACATCCCTATTTTTCAGCAAATTCCCTGATTCATAATCACATTGTTATAGAATGCTGGACACTGGATACTTGCACAGTTAGAAAATTTGCCTAGAAATCAGATGATTACTCTCAGAAGCCACATGCAGCATTGCACCAAAATAGTGTTTAATTCATGTGTGTTGCTATCGTGGACCAAGTTTGTTTGTAGAGTGTAGATTAACCTTATGCAGCCCTGCCTACAATGCTGGCCCCAACCAGTCTTTTTAGATATTAAGTGACTCTTGGGAGGTAGTGACATTACATTCATGGAGAGTTCAGGGCAATCAGCATTTAGCAAGTTTGGGGCCACAGATTCCAACTTGTGTTGCTATAGGATAAGACTCTATAGCAATTTGTTGTTAGTCTGATGTCATAACATTAGCATACCCAGGCAGAATTAGTGCCTTGAATTTTTTTTTTTTTAGAATTAATTTAATATGGATTTAAAAAGATTCATGGAGACTTTATGATTATACAAAAACTAGCCAATTGGCCCATCATAAGACGGGTTTTTCAGGTCTTCTCTCCTGAGCTCTCTTGCTCCGTCTCTCTATGTATGTTCCTGTAGTATTTATACTGCCGGTGATATATTTCATTTTGGTGGAGGTGAGGTTGTGGTGGTAGAGGAGGGGGAGGAATGCCTTTGGCTAAAATAGTGCAAGATTACCTGGAACTTCAGTGGCAGTTGCAGATTGCTAAGCACTTTTAAAAATGTGGCTGCTCTTGTAGATATCTAATATGCATTTAGATGCTCATTTTTGATAATTTAGTCTAAGGGAACAGGAACCCTATTGCTTCCTCACACTTTTTTTGTACATGTTTTTATAGTTTTCTTTTCTTTTCAGATTTCCATCTCCAATAGTTCTTGGACTTGGGCAGGTAAGTTCAACAATAATGCTGTGTATATTGAAGTTAATTAAGATAGATAAAGAAATTAAGTGCTTTCATAGGGTATGTCTACACTACAGCACTAATTTTCCATCTCCAATAGTTCTTGGACTTGGACAGGTAAGTTCAACAATAATGCTGTGTATATTGAAGTTAATTAAGATAGATAAAGAAATTAAGTGCTTTCATAGGGTATGTCTACACTACAGCACTAATTCGAACTAAGCTAATTTGAGTTAGTGCTTCTAGACCTCAAAACTAATTCGAATTTGCGTTTTGCTAATTCAAAATAGCATGTCCACATTGATTGGACCCTGAACCGAAGTTAAGGCTCGCCGGAACCAGTGCCGGCAGGGCATCAGGTTAGAACTTAGAGTGTGGAGCTGCTGCCTCAGGCTAGCCGAGGGCTGTGGTTATAGGGACCCAACCCCCACCCCGGACAGACAGTTCTCAGGATTCCCCGCTTGCTTGTCTACCTCGATGAGGGACAGCAAAGCAG